GGAATTAAACCCAATCCTGTGGCTTCTGGCTAAACATAAGACAGGCATATGAGGTGAATATTTACATTAGGTAGATAGATTCCTTCGAGAAAACAATCATGGAAGAATAGAACGGCTATATATGCACAGGGAGACAGCTCAGGGGGCAGGAGTCCATGGAGGGAAGGATAAATGGAAGAGGTAAAAATGGGGAGGAAGTGGGAGAAGAACTGTTGCACTGTGGTAGATTTTAATCAATGTCATTAGACAAAGTGTATGTGAGCTGCTGTATGGAAAGTGAATTTGCTCTGTAAACTTTCACCCAAATCACAATTAAAAAAAAAAAAATTTTCATTTGAATCATCAGATATGTTTTCCATCTATTGATTTTCCAACTATTGATTCTTCTTTTTTGTTTCCAATTTTCACATCCCTATCACCAGTAGTTATCAATGCATCTAGATTGAATGTTTAATTTCAGACTGCAGAAGCTGGTAAAATTTTTCAAATTTTTCATCTTTGGAATTTATAGTTGGTGTTTAAATTTTAACATAATAGTCATATTAACTTTCTTGTAGGCATATAGATATACTTCTCTCACTGATAGCATTTTATTTCTGGATAGATCCTGAGGATTTTTTTTTTTTTTTTTTTTTTAATTATAATCAATGTGACACCATTCTTCTTCAATTTGTTTTTCCTTGCAAAGTAGACCAAGGAGACCATATTATTGTACAATTCAAAACAGGCAACACCAGTCCATTTCAGCTCACTCCAAAACTCTAAAAACCAAACTCACTGGAATCTAATTGATTCTGACTCATAGCAACCTCCATTGGGCTTCCAAGGCTGTAAATTTTTATAGAAGTAGATTGCCCATCTTCTTTCCTTGTTCAGCTCATTAATATCTAGAATATTTTATCTTTATGTTTTCTATTTCATGCTTGATGATTTCTAATTTTCCTAGATTCATACTTCACACATTTCACTTTCTGATTATTAATGACTGTTTGAACCTACTTCTCACCAGCAAATGAAGGTGATAAACCTTTATTCCATCCACATGATTAGGGTTGATTATAAATTGAAGAAGTAGTTCTTTCTTCATCATGTTTTAAGTGACTTCCAACTAATGAGGGTCATCTTCTGGCATTGTATGAGACAATGTCCTGATGCTATTTATGAGGTTTTCATTGGCCACATTTTTAGAACTAGATTGCCAAGTCATTTCTACTGTGTCTTAGTTTGATGGCTCCACTGAAACCAGTACAGCATGGGAGACCTTGATGGTATTTCAAAACTGGTGGCACAGTTTCCCACATCACAGAAACACAGAAACCTCATAGAACAATCAACTGACATACTAGTAGTTGTCAGCTATGCTATTAACATGATTTGTAAAAAAAGGACTGAAACAGACACTTATTTACAAATGTTAACAGCACCATTATGCACAATAACCAAAAAATGGAAATAACTTAAGTGGCCACTGGCAGATGAATAGATAAGTAACATGTGGTTTAATATTCCTGATGTTATTGTTAGGTGTCAACTAGAGTACTCTGATTCATGGTGACTCTATGTACAACAGAAGGAAGCATTGCCTGGTTGTGTGCCATCTTCACAATCATTGCTATGTTTGAGCCCATCATTGCAGCCACTGTGGCAATCCATCTTGTTGAGATTCTTACCTTATTTTGCTGACTCTTTGCTTTACCAAGCATGATATCTTTCTCTAGGGAGTTGTCCCTTCTGACAACATGACCAAACTGTGTGATACAACATCTCACCATCTTCCTGTCTTAGGAGAATTCTGGCTGTATTGCTTGCAAGAGAGATTTGTCCATTATTCTGGCAATGCATGGTATTTTCAGTATTCTTCACCAATACCATAATTCAAACGTGTATATTCTTCTTCAGTCTTCTTTACTCATTGTCTAGCTTTTACATACATATAAGATAAATGAAAATACCATGGCTTGAGTAAAGTGTTTCTTAGTCTTCAATGTGACATATTTTCTCTTTAACACTTTAAAGAGGTCTTTTGCAGCAGATTTGCCCAGCAAAATATGACATCTGATTCTTTGACTGCTGCTTCAAAATTCAAAGATTGTGGATCCAAGTAAAACAAAATCACTGGAAACTCCAATAATTTCTCCATTTATCATGATGGTGCTTATTGGTTCAGTTGTGACAATTTTTGTTTTCTTTATATTGATGTGTAATCCATTCTAAAAGTCTTTGATCTTTATCAGTAAGTACTTCAAGTCATCTTACCTTTCAGAAAGCAAAATTGTGTCATCTCAATATCACAGGTTGTTAATGAGTCTTCCTCCAATCCTATATAAAGAAGGCTATATTCTCTTCAAACTACTATCTCTTAGTCTATGTACAGGTTCATCATGAGCACATTTATGTGCTTTGGAACTCTCATTCTATGCAAGGTTATCCATAATTTGTTATGATCCACATAGTCAAATGCCTTTGCATAGTCAAAGAAACAAGAAAACATTTTTCTAGTATCCTTTGTGTTCAGCCAGGATCCATCTGACATCAGCAATGATATCCTGAGTTCCATGCCCTCTTCTAATTCTGGTTTGGATTTTTGGCAATTCCCTGTATTCATACTGCTGCAAATGTTTTTGAATTACCTTCAGCAAAATTTTCTTGTGTGTGATATTAATGATATGGTTCAGTAATTTCCACATTTTCTTTGGAATTGGTAGGAATATGGATCTCTTCCTGTTGGTTGCCCATGTAGCTGTCTTCCACATTCCTTGGTATAAAAGAGTAAGCACCTCCACCATTGCATTAATTTGTTAAAACATCTCAAAGGTTATTCCATCTATTCCTAGAGCCTTGTTTTTTTGCCAGTTCCTTCAGTGCATGTTGGATGTCTTCCTTCAATACCACTGGCTCTTGATCATATGCTACCTCCTATAAAGATTGTCTTTAGTGGTTGGTGGATAAATTTAAATAATAGAGTATTAACTGGTCCTCCTTGTAGACTTGTGGATACTATGTTATCATTGACAACATTGTACTTCAGAAAAGATCTTGAATGTTCTTTTTGACTTATAAATGTGAAACCATTCATCTTCTTTGTGTGGTATAACCTGAGAATTTTGCATTATTCAACCTTACAAAACATTGAAGTACTGATAGATACTTCAATATGAACAAAACTTGTAAACCTTATACTAAATGAAAGAAGCCAGTAACAAAAGAGTACATATTGTATGATTACATGTATCTGAAATTTATAGAATAGGCAAATGTATAGAGGTCAGAAATAGACTAATGATTGTCAGAATGAAGCTTGAGGACATAGGCAATGATAACTAATCATTACAGGATTTCTTTTTGCAATGAGGGAAATGTCCTGGAATTAGAAATTTGGTACAATTGCACATTTCTGTGAATATACCAAAAACAACCAGTATGTACAAATCAAAGGGTGAATTTTATTATATAGAAACTTTATCTAAAAATATACTTAAAGCATATTCCTAAAGCATAATTTTTAGTTTTTGTTAAATGAGATTTTATAACAATTAAATATTACAGAATAAAGTTTAATTGAAATATAATAATATATACCTAAATCAAGGCAGCTTCAGTGGAGCAAGTAAGCATTGTCTTCAATTTTCAAAAATATAGAGGATTTATAAATTCGAAATGCAATAAGTTTAAAACCATTCAATTCCACCAGAGACTTAATCAAAGAACGGACTCTAAGTACAATAAAGAAACTAGTTGATTGGATTTAGAAACCATAAATCCTCTACAGGAAAACCATTACCATTTTACAATGTAAGCAATTTAAAAAATATATTGGATATATATATATTTTTTTTTTTTTGGATATTTTTTGAGGGATCATTTTTTTTTTCAGTGTTGTGTAAATAATCATGGAAAACAATCCCAGGAACTAATAGTTCTCTGTTTTCTTCAAATAGATTCTGGTTATTGAGTTAATGATGAGTGAGGAATAAAAGCCATCATGATGAAGATGCACAGCCAAATTAAGTAGATATTGTATCTAAATTTATTAAAATAACTTATCACATAGAATGTATTTTTTTTAAAAAATAGGTATTTATAAGTGCTACTTATAGTCACAGGAGCTCTAGTAGCATAGTGCCTAAGACATTTGACTGCTATTCAGAAGGCTGGCAGTTCAAACCTACCAGCCACTCCTCAGAAAGAAGATGGGACAATCTACTTCCGTAGTGATACTGCCTCACCAATCCAAGGAGGGGTTGCTATGAGTTGAGTCTGACTTGACAACACATAACAACAAGAGCTCTGGTAGTATAATATTTAAAGCATTTGATCTCTAACCAAAAGGTCAGTAGTTTAAATGCACCAGCTGCTGTGCAGGACAAATATGAGACAGTATGTTTCCATAAAGATTTAGCCTTGGAAATCCTATGGAGCAGTTCTACTCTATTGTATGTGGTCATTATGAGTCAGAATCAACTCAGTGGCAGTAGATTTGGTTTTAGTTTACTTATATTCATATATGTTTTGATAGAATGATGTGCTATCTCTTAACTTTCAACTTTTAAATGCTTTGAAATTACGTAGAGAAGAATCAATGTCCTGGACAAAGGGAGAACAACTTGAAGACAAAATACTGGTAAGTGAGTAATTAGTGAACAAAGAAGTATCTCATTAAAAGTGGTGGATAGATTCCAACCCTTGCTCTTGGATGCAGCAAAGGACCCTCTGTTAAATCTGACTTGAAAGCAAGCATCTTAATATCAGGTAGCACTAATAATTAACAACATATGATATAAGAGAACTTACTAGGGGTGAACCAGCTGACATTGACATCCTGATCCAGCTCATTTTTTACTTATCATATTTGTAACATTATGCTAAATAAAGACATTTTACATTTGACAAAAGTGGGAAAAAGGCAAACTAGCAGAAAAACAATGATGGAAGTAGTTTCAGTTTCCTTGCTGGAATATTGACTATAGCAGGCACTCAAAGGAAGTTTGAAAAAGTTATATTTACTTTCCCTTCCTCAATAACTTCTTTAGTCCACGGGATACATCTTTGTTGCGGAGGCTGTAGATGAGGGGGTTCAGCACAGGGGTGAGAATGGTATAGAAGGCTGACACCATCTTGTCCTGGTTTGGTGTATGGTTGGAGGCTGGTCTCATGTACATAAACATGACGGCACCATAGTAGAGTCCTACCACAGCCAGGTGGGAGGAGCAGGTGGTGAAAGCCTTGTGACGACTTTCCCCAGAGCCCATATGGATGACAGCTTGGAGGACGTAAGAATAAGAGATAATGATAATTGATACTGGCAAGATTAGCATCACCACACAGCAGATGAAAAGCAGTTGTTCAAATGCAGAAGTGTCTGTACAAGATAAAGGCAGAAGGGCAGCAACATCACAGAAAAAGTGATGGATTTCCAGAGAGCCACAGTAAGAGAAAGATAGGACACCTGCAAGCACAATAATCTCATCAAGAGAGCCTAAGATCCAGGAAGCAACAGTCAAAAGCATGCAAAGTTTCTGACTCATGAGGATGGTGTATCGAAGAGGGTGACATATAGCCACATAACGGTCATAGGCCATGACAGCCAACAGGAAACATTCAGCTCCAAGTAAGGACACGTAGAAAAATATCTGTGTTCCACAACCTTCCAGAGAGATAGATTTCCTGCCAGACAAGTAGTTGAAGGCCATTTTGGGTACTGTGGTACAGATGAGCATAAGATCCATGAGGGAGAGTTGGCTGAGGAGGAAGTACATAGAGGTGTGGAGTTGGGTGTCCAGGTAAATGACAAGAACCATTGCCGTATTTTCCATTAAGGCCACTGTGAAGATGCCCAAGACTAAAGAGAAGAGGAAAGCATGGATGGGGTTGTGATCAAAAATTCCCAGAAGAATAAATTCAAAGTGAAAAGTCTCATTTCCCCATCTCATGGTGGTTACTTTTCCTTATCTGGAAGTTTAAAACAAGGCACAAGTTTATTTATTGATTAAGCAAATTTGGTTCTGAATGTGTACCATGGCAAGACCATAGAAATAGACACACACAGAATTTGCACCTGAGACATTCTCCTGAGTCTAGGAGATATATACCTAAGAGGTATATAAAACTTCTTCATTTTAATATCAACAACTCAGCAGTGTTTGACAATTCCTCCAAGAATAGAGTAAACCCCCAAAAACTGGCCTCTGTGTTACATGTTAATGCTTTGTGTGACCTATAAAGTCACAGTGAGTTTGACTACCTTTGATCTAGGGCTGTCATGTTTTTGTCATCATCTAACCTTTATAGAGATCAACTTAAATAGGCATTTTCTTTATTGTACCCACAGAAGACTTTAAATTTTAAGATCTTATAGGCTTCCACATCACTATATTGTCAATAGAAACCCTGAGAGAAAAAATAAAAATATATATCTGTTGCTAAATGTTATGACCATCTCTGATTATAGGAAATTTCTTTTTTGACCAATTTCTCCTAGTATGTCTCTATACTGATACTTTTGTTAATAACTATAGAATTTCTCTTCTCATAGTTTCTGCAACATTCACCCCTTTCCCATTATGTCTCACCAGTTGTGTGAAAGAGTGAAGGAAATTGATGTCATTGTCCTCAGGGGGGCACATTTTTAATATAAAAAAATCAAAAACTCACTGCTGTCAAGTCAGAGCTGACTTATGGCAACCCCTACTTGGGTTTCTGAGGGAGTATTACTACAGTAGATTGCCCAACCTTCCTTTGGAGGAGCAACTGGTGGGCTTGAACTTCTAACTATCTGGTTAGCAGTCAAATGCCTTAGGCACAACACCACCTTAATTTAGAGAAGTTTTACAACCATAACCGGCTGCCATTGAATCTTTTCTGCCTCCTGGAGAACTCACGTGTGTCAGAATAGAAATATGCTTCACAGATTTTATAATAGCTGATTTTTGGAAGTACATTGTCCGACTTTTCTTTTGAGGTGCCTCTGGGTGCACTTGAACCACGACTTTTCAGTTAGCAGCAAATTCATTACCCATTTGCCCCACCCAGCTACTCCAGAGAAAGGTTATACTAGCTTACATTGTAACCTGTCCACCTCAGACCAAGCTCCTGAGTCTTAGTTCATTTAATCAAAACACTAATTAAACTGTTTTCTTAAAGAAACAGAACATCCTCTTCTCATCTGAGAATAATACTTCTCTCATTCTGTGTGGGGAGGGCAGCAGTCAATTTATTTATTTGTATTTGAAGAAAATTAATTTCTCCTGCTTGTAGGGCAAAGTAAAAGTATGTGAGACTGAGTCAGCCCCTGGGAGTGAGTTTTATTGGAGGCCCAAAATGTATCTCAGGGCCATAGTGTTGGGGGTCCTACCAGAATCCATCTGACCAGTAATTCTGGTCATTATTGTGTTTTTGGATTTTGTTTCATGTTTTTCCCTCCAGTCTATCTAGAATCTCTAGTTTTGATCCTTTTTTGAGTGGTTAACATTGGTAGCCAGGCACCATCTAGTATCTGGCTCTTAAGCCAATAGTAAATAAGATGTACACGCAGATCACTCAACCCAGGATGACACACCCACATACTACTCTATGGAGATCCATCCCTTGGAGCAATCAACCACAGGGCACCAGAGGGGCAACATTCACATGGAGTTAGGATTGAGGGTGGTATTTGGAGAGTGAAACCAAATATACACGAAATGTTGAATGTAAAATTAATTCTGGTTTGTAAACTTGCATCTAAAGCACACACACAAAAAAAAATAATAAAAAAACAAAACAAAACAAAACAAAAAACCCTGAAACCAAATAGTGTAAGGGGGAAAAAAAAAAGGAGATAAACATCTGTGAGACAGAGAAAATCCCTTCTACGATCATTAAAACTTCAATGTAATCGTTATTTCAGGGACTGTTGTTGTTGTTGTTATGTGCCGTCAAGTGGGACCTACTCATAGCGACCCCTCCTTGGGTTTCTGAGGCAGTATCACTACGGAAATAGATTGCCCAACCTTCCTTCTGAGGAGTGGCTGATGGGTTTGAACCAGCAGCCTTCTGGTTAGCAGTCAAGTGCCTTAGGCACTACACAACCAGAGCTCCTATTTCAGAGACTAGGTGAGATCATTCCTTCGTAATGAGCAAAAGCACAACTGTGTGAACTGCTCTGCATATCACAGTCACAATAGCCAGATTCTAGAATGTACTTGTGTGGGATTTAGAGTACTGGGGAAAATAAGTTGAGAAAAGTGCATAGAATCAGATCATAGAGAGTTGTAATAGTGTACTTCAATTATTGAAGTGATTTAAGCTGTGGAATGAAGTTGTGGAGTGACATGAATGAAATTTTTATTTGAAGTGTTCTCTGGGATGCTAAATGAATTCAAGGCTTTGGATGGGTAACATCAGCCAGCATAAAGACCAGAGAGGAGGTGCCTTCAGCAATCTAAAAGAGCCTGAGCCAAATTCAGGCATGATAGTGGAGAAAGGAAAGAACAGGATTGAAAAAAATCAGCACTCAGGCCTCTTTTAAATCTCTCAACTCTTGTCTCTGGATGTGATTTTTTTTTTACCCTGCTTTTAAAACATTATGCCCTATACACACATATTTAGTTTTACTGCGCTTCTCTTTATTGCACTTCTCAGATGTTTCATTTATCACAGTTCAAAGTTTTGTGGAATTCTATGGTATTTCTAGTGGCTCCATTTTTTTTTACCAACAGAATGTGTTCATTCATGTTTCCATACCATAGTTAGGTGAGTCTCAAAATATTTCTTTTTTATAGTATTGTTGCTCACTTAATAGAGTACAGTATAGTGTATATATAACATTCATATGCACTGGGAAACCAAAAAATTATATAACTCACTTTATTGCAATTTTTGTTTTATTCCCGTGATCTGGAACTGAAAAGATCATATCACCAAGATATGCCCATAGATGGTTCACTGGAGTCTTAATTTAAATTTATCTAAATAAAACAATACAAAAAAAGATGGACATTTTTCTTCCTGGTATATATCACTGCCACTAAAATTCTTCCAGACTCCCAGATTTGAATGCATAAGATACTCTGATATTTTCTCTCCTTATTTTGTCATTGTATATTTTTTATTCCATTTTAAAATGGCTGTTTAAAAGATATGATTTGGCATACACAGATCATGTACTTTGATGTATAATGGCTATTGACAGAGACTTATTTATCATTGTGAGTATTTTGGAGTTTTTTTTTTTTTTTTTTTTTTCCTTTTTTTTTTTTTTTTTTTTTTGAGTATTCTTGGTCTTGGTCTCTAGGCATTATTCTATTAAAATAAAAAAATATTCAGGAGGTGTGTTTTTAATATGATCTGCATGGTTAAATTAAATAAGAAATTCAACTTATCTCTTTTTTCTCCTGGATACCTTTGTGGTCACAGCATTAATGGGGTATATCAACTTTTTTTTTCCTATGTAGTATCAACAACTTAGCAGTATTTGACACACCCCTCACTGTAGGACAGAGTAGATTTCTGAGAACTGGTCTCTAAGCTACACCTTAACGCTTTGAGTGGTCTCTGTCTATCACAACATTATTTATGATTCAAAAATTATCTTGAAATCTTGTTGCTATGTTAAATTAATTTATAATCACTATACAGAATAGTACAACTTTTTTCAAAGAAGACGAACTAATTAATAGTGAGTTTTTTTTTTTTGTTTGCTTTCAAGATGCAAAGCAAAGACATGGCTTTTTTTTTTCTCCCACAATGAATTAAGAAGTTATACCAATACTACAACAGAAAATGCACATTACCATTTATGATTTTGGATCAAATAAATGTACCTTAAAGGGTAAAATATACCAACTTTGAAATTGGATAATAATCTTCCATAGGTCATAAAATCGTTTATTTATATGACTACTATGTACAAGTTCCTTTCACATGTTTCAACGCTACTGATGTGGGAAGAAAATCTAAATGTCAGGCAACAAGAATATAGAAAAAAACATGTATAACTATCTAAATTATTATCAAATATAATCCTATCCACACAATGGTTAACATAAATAATTGGCAAGCCCTCTCCCTTTGTCCTTATAGTTTTTAAAATAGCATTGTGTTACAATTTCCATATGAAATTGTAAATTCCCATCATTGTAGCAAAAGCAATTTAATTCTGCTGTATGCTTTCATGTCAATTTTTAAGGGAAAGTAGAGATAATATCTTAACAATTCTATACACTGTGTGAGTAAAATAAATCATACCTCATTGAGCTTTTCTACTTCATGGCATTGTCTCTAAAAATTTCATGAACTGCTATATTTGATGAAGAATTTGGAATGTGAATAAGGTAGCTGTGCTCTGTTTTGCAACAAATCACACCCTCAATAATTTGTAAATTGAAAATGTGCACTTGGCAGCATCTAATACATTTTTCTGAACAGTTTTTTTTTAAAATCTTTAAATCAGTACAATGTACTTTTTGGCATGTGATTGCTTATGTGAAGCTATATTTTGAGGTGTGTATCAACAATCTAGAAGACACTTATGCTTATTTTAAGGGCTCCATGAATCTGTGGTTTTTTTTTTTTTTTTTTTTTTAAACAATTGATAGTATCATTAAGGAGAGCATGTCCCTTAGTTCACTTCCTCCTTGGTTTCAGGATGAAGAAGAAAGAGAACACTGTGAAGGGGAATGATGGTACTCTCAAGATTTTAGAAATTGAACATTATGGGATCTATTATGTGTGTGTGTGTGTGTTAAATATCCTGAGGAAAGCTTATATTCCTATAATCTGATATTATTATCTAAAATCTTTTTCGTGCACATTAGATCATAAAGTCTTTCCAAAGCTGTGAATGGTAAAAACAGTTTCACAAATAATATTTTACCATTTTATTCATACTCACTAGTAGTGGTCAAGGTGTAGATTCACTCAGTAAGTTTTAGGTTCTCTGCATTGGGTAAAA